AAATCCTCCCCGCGTGGCCGTGGGGGCAGCGGGGAGGTGGCCAATGTCACACAGCCCATCCAGGGTGGGTTGGGGGGTCTGGGGCAGGAAGCCTGGCATGCCGCAGGGGTGCGGTGTTTGCTGGGGTCGGCCGTCCCTCCGCCTGAACCAGTGTCTCCGCGCACTCGTGTAACGCAGGGCTGGGAGCCAGCAGCCGCCGGGAAGAGGATTTCCGCTTCTGTGGTGACCGAAACCAGACCCAGAACAGCTCCGTCATCTACGAGCATGGCCCTCCCACCATCTCCATTGAGAACATGGCACAGGCGCTCATTATCAAAAGGCCATTTTTGCCAAAGAGGAGAAATTCTTACTACAAGTACAGCTTACCACCGGCTTTGGGCAGGTACCGCTTCTGCATCTACTGGTTCAAGGCCAACAGGACGCTGAGGCTGGTGTATGGGAAGCAGAACTTCCTCCTGGGTGGGGACCCGTCCAGCAGCATCACCCGGGGGAAGGAGAGCCAGAAGACCGAACGGACCCGCACCTCCATCTTCAACGTGTCCTACGTCTACAAGGGTGGGAAGAACACCTCCCTTGACAGTGCACCTGAATATTTCCTCGGTAAAAGCAATTCAACGTGATTTTAATGAAATAAAGGGTTTGCTTCATCTCCAGCCCGTTCTCTAGCCATCAGCAGAGTGTTGGTGGTGTCCCAGTGTGTGCTACAGCGTGATGCTGTGAAGACACAGCTGAAGGGCAATGGAAGGGGACGTGGGCTGGCTTGAAGCAGCCCAGAAGTAGCCCTCGGTACCCACCCTCCCTGGTGATGAAGATTTCCAAGTGTTTTGCCCCCTAAAATCCTGGGAAACTGTGGGCTTTGCAGAGGTCTCCGAGGGTCCCATCTGCACTGTGAGGCACCTAGCCAGCCTCAGCCAGCATGGTCCCCATGACCTTGGGGGGAGACAAGCTCTGGGCAGCAGAAGTCCTTGAGGCTGGGGGGTCCGGTCAGCTCCCCAGGATTGTTGTTACCTTGAAACCCTCTGCTTTCTGCTCCCTTTTGGTTCAGGGCATGGGAAAGCTGTCTCTGCCCATGCATCTCACAGCATTTCCTTTCATGTGCCCATCAGAATTTCCAGAGAGCGTGTCCATCTGGGAGCAAGATGTGGAGCAGCAGCTCGTCACCTTGGACAGCCTCATCGCCCAGCCCCCGGCACCGGCCGCAGGAGCCACGGAGCAGCAGCTGCTTCACGGAGCAGCAGATGCTTCGGCGGTGAGTTCCCCTGGCTTGTGCCATTGCCACTGCTGCTGTGGCCGCTGCACCCTGCTCACTGCAACCCTGTCCCAACAGCAAACTGGGGGAGCTGGAGAAGATGCTGGCCAAGGTGGAGCTCGAAGGGCAGAACCAGACTTTTGGGAAGGCCACTGTTCACGCAACTGTCCTGAGAGTGCAGCCTGCTTGGGCTCCTCAGCACCTGGCCTTTGCTTCCCAAAGAGAGGTGGGTCCTGGGCAGGCTGCCCTGGTGGTCTTTGCCCACTGGCATCTTCTCCCAACCTCTCTCCTGACAAGTATTTCCTTGCAGGAGGACAGAGAGGTCCGTGGGTTCACAGTGGACCTGCCGAGCAGCCTGTTTGAGATGGCAAAGGAGAAGGAGGAGGTGGTGGAGCACAGGGTGCTCGTCATGGACATCAACAGCCAGACCATGTTCCAGGTAATGCCCACGCGTGTGGCACAGTGGGGTGTCCCCTCTGTGCCGGTGGGTGTCTGGTGGGATGCTGCCCAGACCAGGGTGCTGGTGCTTGCTTGGAGAAGATGCTTCAAGGATGAGCTAGAAGCTTGATGGGTAAAGAGGCATGGGACCTCCTTGGGGACCCTCACCCGCTTCATGCCTGGCAGCTCTCCCTTTCCATGCTGCCATCGCCTCCTCTTCTCCCACAGGATGAAAACAGCAGCCGTGTCCTGGGTGACAAGGTGGTTGGCATCTCCCTCGTGGACACAGTGGTGGCCAACCTCTCTGACCCGGTGGTCCTCACTTTCTTCCATGACCAGCTGCCAGTAAGTGGGGAAACAGCCTCATCAAACCTGATCCCACTAGGAACGGAGGAGCAAGCAGGGCTCAGGCCATGCCAGCTTAGAGAATAGTCACAATCCAGCAGGTCCATGCCTGTGGCTTGCCTATACAGGATCTGCTGTGTGTTCTGGGGCTGTATCACAGTCATGGCTTCACCAGGTGCACTGGGGGTGGTGCTGCCTGCTCCTGTCCAGGAGATGCTGCTTTGCAGATGTGTCACCTCCAGGTGACAACCTCCATCACACAACCTCCAGGGCTGGGGGACCCTTGGAGTTGACAGTCCCTTGGCTCATTCATGGCCCTGTCAGGTGCCTGCTCAAAGCTCAATCCCTTGTTTGGAAAAGGGGACCTGGGAGGAAGTATCTGCTCTGCAAGCTGCCAAGAGAACGGTCTCTGCCCAGAGCCCACTCCCATGATATGGGATGATTTGTCTCCTGAGCCCACCTTACCTCCTGCCCCGTGTCCTCCCCTATCAAATGTGCTGGCTGGGCGACAAACCCACAGCTGCATCCTGATTGGGGCCCATGGTTTTGTTGTTGCAGAGGAACGTGACCCCCCTCTGTGTCTTCTGGCAGGAGAACACCAATGGTGAGTGCTCCTGCGCCTGGGTGTGAAGCCAGGCGCTGCTCCTTTTGCTGGGTACCACAGACCTGCTGGTAGGAGGAAAATTTGCTCTGCACCTCCCTTCCTCACTCCAGCTCCATAAACCCTTCCCACAGAGTTGATTTCAGGTTTTTCCCAACCTAAGAGCTCTCTCCCTCCCTAGGGATGGGTCCCAGTGCTGAGAGTGCTCTCTGAGTGCGTGTGCTTGGCATGGGATGAGCTGGGACCCCCCACTTTTGTCCTCCCCCGCTTCCCTGGGATACCTTGCCCTGAAGATCCACAAACCTGAAGCAGATGTTCCTGCTGCTCACTGGCTGCTCTCCCTTTCTCTTGTGCAGCTGGCTCTGGGAGCTGGGACAGCTACGGTTGTACGACAGCACCGGGGGGCACCCGGACAGACTGCAGATGCAACCACCTCACCTACTTTGCCGTGCTGATGGTGGGTAGCGCCGTCCCACAGCTCTCTACATTGTTCCCACCGGCCGTTCTCCCTCACCATCTCTCATTCCTCCCTCTCCCCAGGTATCCTCCCCAGAGATCACCTACATGCACAGGGATTATCTGAGCATCATCACCTACATCGGCTGCCTGATCTCAGCTTTGGCGTCCGTCTGCACCATCGTCTTTCTCTACTTCAGGTGCAGTCTGACTGGTCACCCTACGCTCCCCGTCTGTGTCCTGTCTGTTGCCACTACACCTGGGTGGGCACAAGCTCTCCAAATGCAGTTGGTGGCCTGTCTGGAAGCATGATGAAGGAACCATGCTTGAAGATACCAAGGGTTCTCCTCTCCAGAAACCACTCCTTGGTCAGGTCTCCTGCAGGGTGCTCAAAAACACCAGCTGTTTTCAATTATTTTGGAAAACCAGCTCGGTGGTTGTTATAGATCTGGCAAGCAGAAGCCTGCAAAGATTTTTTCAAGGGCGCAGTGGAGAACATGAGTGTCTTCTCCTGAGTCATGTCACTGATCCTACATGGATGATTCGGAGCTGAAATGATGTCACTCCCTACCCCCCACAGCCTAGACGTGAACACAGGGTCACTGCAGGGACCTGAGTTTCCATGTGTCACAGGTGGTCCCACTGTGGGGTTAGGCTCTCAGCCCTGACACCACCAAGGGTCTCCTGGCTCTTCTGGTGGGGTCGAGTTGTCCCCTGCAGAGCTGTGGGGTGTTGTGGGGCACCAAGGTTGCTGGCTAGGCATGGTGGTGAGGTCTCCCCACCTTGTCTCTCCAGAAGCAAGCAGCGAGACCAGATCACGAGCATGCACATCCACATGAACCTGCTGGGTGCCATCTTCCTCCTGGACACCACCTTCCTCATATCTGAGCACTTGGCTTCCAGCAGCAGCGAGGCAGCCTGCAGAGCTGGGGGGCTCTTCCTCCACTTCTCTCTCCTCAGCTGTCTCACTTGGATGGCTATCGAGGGCTACAACCTCTACCGCCTCGTGATCGAAGTCTTCAATGCCTACCATGACCATTTCCTCCTCAAGCTCTGCCTGGTGGGCTGGGGTGAGCATGGGCGAGGCAGGGATGCCCCAAGGGCATGGGCATGGGGGCTGTGGGGGAGCAGATGTCCGAGAGCAGGGGGAGGTCTCTGCTGAGAGACTTGGTGGAGGAGACACGGTGACCAAGAGCAGAAGCTGGTGCTAGAGCAAGGGTGGGTTACCCAGCGAGTGAGGCACATGAGAGCCACTACTCGGGGGTCTTTAAATAGTAATGGAATCCTCTCTTTTTGAAAGAAACATCCAGGGCAGCCCAGAGAGATGGGCTTGGTGCAGGAAGCACCTATGCATCTCTGCCATGCTTTGGGCAGGAGGCCACGGTAGGAAGACCTCATAGTCTTTTGTGGCCTAAAATTCCATGACCCTGAGAGACCCCCAGGCTGGGGTTGGTGCGGCACAGCTCGCACCCAGGCCGGGGCTGACACCAGGCATCCTTGTTGTGTTCCCCATCCTTGGGAGGAGGACGGGGGTTTTTACTCTAGATGGGGAGAAAGGGGCAACAAATTCTTCCTGAAGGACTGAGGGCTGGGACTAGGGCAGCCGCCTCACCCTGTTCTTGCTACCCAGGAGTCCCCTTCTTCTGCGTGACACTGATCTTCCTGGCTAGCTGGACGAACTACGGCCCCTTCTCCATCCCCATCTATGAATCCATTGGTGGCAGATCCACCAATGCAACCATGTAAGTCATGGGAGATGGGTTGCCTGGTCCTTGGACTTAGGTAAAGTCAACTGGCTAAACCTTCACCGTGTCCTACAAGCTTTCCTTAGCCCACCTGTGGCTATTCTGGGGTTTTGTGCCTGGCACTGCATTTGCACCCCACCTTTGTGCTTCCCCCAACCCCTCCCCGGTCCCCGTGGGATGACACAGCATAACCCACTGCCCTTTCTCCTTCCTCCAGATGCTGGATCACGAGCCCCCTGATCCATAACGTCGTGAACTTGGGTTTCTTCAGCCTGGTGTTCCTCTTTAACTCAGTCATGCTGGGGGCCATGGTCCGGGAGATCCTCCGGCAGAACAAGAAGGGCCACAAACTCAAGCACATCCTGGCCCTCTTTGGGCTAAGCATCCTGTTGGGCATCCCCTGGGCACTTGTCTTCTTCTCCTTCACCTCCGGCATCTTCCGCCTCATCTCCCTCTACATCTTCACCATCATCAACTCCCTCCAAGGTGAACCTGGGACAGTGGGCTCTTCTGGAAGGCACTGGGCCTTTCATGAGGTATTGGTGGGGTGGGGATGGGGTCGGAGAGGAGCCATCCCCGGCAGGATGGCTGGCTCGCTCTCAACTGCTGTTGGCCCTTATAGGGGGTTCACCCACCCTTCCTTCCCTTTGGATGTTGGTCTCTTCTCCCAGAAAACCTCTCTTTGGGTCTCAAAGCCTCCCTGTTTTGTTCAAAGCCTCATTTTTAGGATGCAAACATCTTTTTCAGGGCTGAAAGCCTCATTTGCAAGGCTCAAAGAATCACTTTCGGATCCAAATCTCCATTTTTAGAATCCAAAGCTTCATTTGGAGGGTTGGAGGGATGTGGGTGTCAGTCTCTTTTCCCAAGTAACTAGTGACAGGACAAGAGAAAATGGCCTCTAGTTGCACCAGGGGAGGTTTAGTCTGGATATAAGGAAAAATTCCTTCGCTGAAAGGGTTGTCAAGCATTGGAACAGGCTGCCCAGGGGAGTGGTGGAGTCACCATCCCTGGAGGGGTTCAAAAGACGGGCAGAGATGGTGCTTAGGGACATGGGTTAGTGGTGGGCTGGGCAGTGCTGGGTTTGATCAACTTGGACTTGATGATTTTAAAGGTCTAATTCTATACTTCCTCCCTCCTGTCCCAGGTTTCCTCATCTTCCTCTGGTACTGGACCATGGTGCTGCAGGCAAGAAAGCCCCCTGACTTGCAGAGCAGCTCCGACAACGTCAAACTGCAGCCCAACAGCACCCAGAGCCACCTCGGCTGAGCCTCGCAATGGCTGCGCCATGCTGGGGCTCCCTGCAAGGAGGATGGCTGTTGGAAGGACCCATGCCGTCCGCTTCGCTACCGAACCCACCTCGTAGGGCTGCTAGCAGCCTGGGGACCCGCAGCAGGGCTGGCCGCCCCTCGCCTCTGCCAGCCCCTGCCCCAATTTTCCCACCCCACTGCATCCAGCAGTGCATCCCTCGGCTTGGCATCCTTGGGGCAGGAGGGAGGGATGCTCACCCAGGCAGCGAGGGCTAGAGAGAGTGGAAGGGGCAGGGACAGGGTCCCCAGTGCCACTGGATGTCCCCTCTCATGCCCCAAGGCCTGGGATGATGGGTGGGAAAGGCCCCCTCCTCAGCCCTTGCTGGTGGTCACTGGGAGGGTCCTTCCCTAGTGAAGAGAGAATAACTCTGCCCCCGCGACACCCTCTAGCAGCTGGAATAATCTATTTTTGTTATTTTGTTGAATGTCTATTTTTGGATGATGTTGAAGTTTCACGAGCACGCCCGCACACCAGACCTGTGCCCATTAAAGCTGTTCCTGCTCGGAGCCTGGCTCGCTGGGATCTCTCTGCTGGGTGTGTTCCCAGGCTCTCTGATGGGATCCAACCTCGGCTGGGATTCTCACATCGCCAGGGCAGGACCTGGTTTTTCACCCGTAGGATCCTGCTCAGCTGGGACTGGTAATGGTGCTCCCAACAGCGCCCTGGCAGCCCGGTGCCGGAGGGGTGGGTGATGGAGGGAGATGCCCTGGCTCAGGCTGCTGCAGTCCTGGCGCCCGTCACTGCCCAGCAAAGAGGGAGGCCAGTGGAGGCTGGGAATCCCAAGAGGGCGGCTTTGTGGGATGGGAATCGCCTCCCTTGGTGGTTGTGGGGCCAGGCAGCACTTGGCTCTCCTGGCTGTGCTGCTTGCCACGTCTCCAATCATAGAATCACAGAATCATTAAGGTTGGAAAAGGCCTCAAGGATCATCAAGTCCAACCGTCAACCCAACACCACCCAACCCACTAACCCATGTCCCGAAGCACCACTTCTACACGTTTCTTGAACCCCTCCAGGGATGGTGACTCCACCACTTCAGCCTGTTCCAATGCCTGATCACTCTTTCAGTGAAGAAATTTTTTCTAAAATCCATCGCACCAGTTCACCTTCCAGAAGATGCTCTGCTTGTGGCTCATTCCGCTTCACCCATTGCCCAGCTCCCGGCTGGGGCAGGAGGACCTCCCCAGGAAGGGGATGGTTCATCCCCAAGGGCTCGTGGCGATGCCCTATGGCATGCCCAGTTGGGCGAGGGATGCTCCGACACATCGCTGGGCTGGTGGGGGCCATCGCCCAAGGATTTGGCAGGATCGGTGGGGGAGAAGGGGAAAGAAAAAAGCCCCGAGTGAGGCGGGGGAAGCACCAAGGGGGAAGCAGCATGGGCCTGACGGTTATCGCTGCT